TTATCACCTTTCTGAAGTTACGTGAAGTATAAGATTATGATATATAACAATACATATATTTTAGGGAAAAAGACGCGTTTTTATTTAAATTTTGATGCCAGCATCAAATTATCATTAAGTATANCTTATTTACACTTTATTTTAAATATTTTGTACGAGATTCTCAAAAAAAGACTGCCTACTTTCTATATTGAAATCTAATTTATGAATTATCAATAAAATGTTTAGGCAACGAATGTGCACTAATGTTAACATAGTTTTTAGAATGATTGTAATAATTTTCCGTGTGATAATAAAAGAGATATATCATGTACAAATGTGTATTAAATATTCGATCACAGACTCCGTAGTGATGCCGATAAGTAAGCGGACACAATTATGTGTGACAAAATGAGACGAAAAAATAGGTTTATAGGCTCTAACTTAAATACCTTATATCAGTGTCTTTTTCGCTGTACATGAATGTCAGACTTCCATCCATTGCCATAAATCTACTTGGATTCAATGGCTTCGGCACCATCAATTTTTACTTTATTTTCTAAGATCTATATTACCAAATATCTGCATAATTCGCATGAAGTCTGACATTCATGAACTGCACTGAACCTTCCTCTTTCGAATGATATCATTGAACAGTCAAAAAGATGTTGATATAGGGTAGTTAAGTTTGAGCCCGTAAACCCATGTTTTTGTCTTATTTTGTCGGTAACTGTGTTCTCTACATTTATCGCGTCACTAGGGATCTTCCTCTTTCGAATGACTTATTTCCCAGGGAAAGATATTCTTGTATAAAGACGAAATTTTGGGAAGCGCAAACCCATCATTTTGTCGGTAACTTTGACACTCTACCTTTACCATGTCGAAACGTTTGAATAAATTGCGTCAATGATGATATACCACCAATTAGGTACATATAAATTTTGTGCTGATCCCACCTGATCGCTTTTGACGAAGTCTGTTTCATACTTATTGAAATTATTCCAAGTTTCTGTCTAAAATTTAAATAAAGAAAGCATCTCATAATTTATTGTAGCTTGAAATTTAAATCGTAATTGATCATTACTATTGGTACTGGTTGGCGCGTAGTATAATGTATTTTATTGTTACACTGTCGAGTTCATGTAACAAAATTTAATTTTTCGGAATATTAAGAATAATTTTGACAATTTTATTTAGTAAAATACATGAAAAAAAGTTAGATAATGTCTCTAATGAATTGTAACCTTCATCGCATGTCAACTGCATTTAGAGTTTTACAAATGTCAAAAGTATTTCATCCTAACCTATCCCGTTGCAAATCAGGTAAAGTAATTATGAGTTGAATTAAAATTTACCAGCAATAACATTATTTCTGATGTAATTATATCTCTCTTACAGATAATACAGTTGTAACTGTTGGTGACATTTCGAAACAAGTGAAACCAGCACAAAATCCTGAATATGTACCAAGGAAGTATCGTAAGTGCAACAAGTTTTACACAATTTCACGCTTTTGTTTATTTCACTGAAAGATAACAATGAACTGTCATTTTCACAGTATTGAAAACAACAACTCAAGAGTCATTAAGGCATTTAAAATGGATGCTCCAAAAGGATACTTTATCTCAAGATATTTTTCTAATGGGAGGTCCGGGAACTAGAAGAAGAGAATTAGCTCTAGCATTTCTTGAACTCACTGACCATGAAGTAGAATTTATTGCACTCTCAAGGGATACGACTGAGGCAGATTTAAAGCAAAGAAGAGAAATTAAATCTGGTACCGCTTATTACCATGACCAGAGTGCGGTGAGAGCTGCAACAAACGGCAGAGTTCTTATCATCGAAGGTGTTGAGAAAGCCGAAAGGAATGTACTTCCTGTTCTAAATAATTTACTAGAAAATCGTGAGATGCATTTAGAAGATGGTAGATTCCTCATACCTGCGTCTCGTTATGATAAATTACTGCAGGTATCGCATTTAATTGTGTATCATAGACTACTAATTCTTTTGCATTCGTAACATATTTTTTAAACAATGAAAAATTTTGTTATAACAATCTGCATAAATATCAGCAGTCTAATTACTATAAATCGATAACCTTTACGAATGTGAATTATTAAACGGACTAAACACATTTGTATCAGCTACATAGCCAAGCAGAACTGGATGCTTGGAAACTGGTCAGAGTCAGCGAAGACTTCAGAGTTATTGCATTGGGTTTGCCGTCGCCACAGTATCCTGGTCATCCATTGGATCCACCTCTCAGATCCAGGTTTCAAGGAAGACATATACCAACACCAAGTTACAGAGTAAGTATAATTAACAATTTTGTTCGAAGATCTTATGCTCATTAGTGGTCCATAGTACACGTTGGTCCCAGAATGTAAAATTACTTCGACGGATTGAATGATTAGAAAAAGACAAGAAGTTATGCTGCTAACTTCTATACAAATATGTATAGGATATACATATGATGGTAAGAATCATCGTGTATCTATGATGATAAGAACGCATTGCATAATATGAGTTATCACGTACCAGTTATCAGTTGGCGGAGTATCAAATAACAGAAGAAATTCTTCCCTGATATTAAAATATATAGAATTAAGTATTTCTCTGTTCATAAACATCTGCTGATCATATTTATGCGAATACGAATTCCTAGCGCACTTTCTAACATTTGTAGCCCCTCTTGATTCGCAGTTATATAAAAAACAATGTTGCACATGAAAAGTAGCACAGCACCGAGAGCAGTATAAACGTAGAAACGTAGACCGACAAAAATTAGGTAACAAAAGTAAGGACGAAGCTCTACACCCACATCAACAAAGTAATCCGCGTTCGCCTCTTATGTATTAGCAATTCGAAGCTGCATAAGTCTCATGTGGCAATGCTCTGTAATTATTGTCGCAGCTCGGAGGAGGCAGAGCTGCGCAGCAATTTGCTCAAGTTTTACCCTGATTTATGGATACGTAACAACGTACTATCGGGCATGGGGTGCGGAGGTCGCACCCACCCCTCCATCCGGCCATCCCTTCCGGTGCCCGTTCCCTTCCTATATAAACAGTTCGTCGCAGCGCTATGGTCACAGTCATCGCGGTTTGGATCGCGTGTCCCGCACACGGGAGCTCTGTTAGTCCTCAGAGTTCAGCCGAGAGTCGATACACCGACGTCGAGTTGTCGCCTAACTTCCAGGAGACCTTCGAACAACAGCTCCATTTCCTTCGATCTTAAAAAAAAAAGGAAAGAAAATGACACACGTCACAGACAGTGATTATTTTCCGGAGCGATTTGAACTCCTGAATCTGAAACTTTGCATAATCTGAAACAATCTCTTCCTGTTAGATCCTGTATAGAGGTCAGGAGAGATTGATTGATCACATCGGAGTCTTAGCTACTGATGCCGTCGATACATGCGTGCAACGCCACCGAAAAATTCGTCGTTAACTATGCCGGCTATATGGTCGTCCTCGGAGAGGCCGCTGTCCGTACGCACCGTCTGGGTAGACGGCATCCGACACGCGATTCTGTCACCCAACGATCCTCTCATCGATCCTAAATTACATCGCCGTTCTCGCGAGCCCAGAATCAAGAGTTGCTCGCCGCGGCGCAGCGAATCGGAGTCGAGACTGGATCGTCTGAGTCGTTGTTTCAGCAACCTGCACATGGTCGTCGACAACAATCCCCAGGAGAGCAAGTCCACCAGAGTCTACCGGAAGTCATCCGCGCCTCCTTGTTCCAGGCTATCGACTGTTTCGTCGGCTAGCACGGAGCCTCCTGTAGACGATCAGAGACTCGCCGAGAATCGGGAATTGGAAGCAGCGGAAGGGAGCTTCCAGATCCTGGTGAACCGAGCGATTTTCAAGGACGAGGTCTGTCGGAGCACGCCGGAGTCGGATAACAGCTCGAGCAGGATGGAACGAAGGCAGACCGAGAGGACGTTCGATACTTTCTGGGACCCGTTGTTCGAGAGGGTCCTTCAGTGGCTGGACTTGTCGGGGAGGGCGCAGAGTTACGAGTTCGAGGAGGACTTCGCGGATAACTCGCCGAGGGAAGAGGACCGGAAGTGGAGGCTCATGAAGAGGAGGATGCCGACTTTCAAGCGGGAACCGTTCGCTGGGAAGGAGAGAGTCGTGATACAGAATTATAAACTCCGGAAGGACGACAATACCGAGGGCGCCAGGAGGAACGAGAACACGACCGTACGGAGGAAGTTGCCGAAGATACGTGGCGCGAGGCAGGATCGAAACGACGACACATCGTCGGATCTACTGTTTTGCGTGTCCTCTGCGAAGGCGAGTCTGAAGGTGGAGGAGAACGAGTCGAAGGAGGAAGTTCGGATCCGGGACAGGGTGTCCGCGGTTTGGTCTCCGCCGAGGCGTCTTCAGCTGCACGTGATGATGCCGAATCTAGCTTCCACGGAGAACACGTCCTCGCAAGAATCGTTGATCAACGATTAGGACGATATTTTTCTATACATCGCCGTAGTCTATAAATCGTACGAATTTTTATACCAGTAGTTTACGCGAGGAGCTTCCTGTTTTCATATCTTCTGTAAATCTTTGCGTCTGCTCTTTGAAGTTAGTTGTAGAAGTCGACGTAGAGTAGTCGAGCAGCTCGACGATTTTCCAGAGGTAATTAGCTCGTATGACCCGTAACTTTATCTAAATATCGAATTTCTTGTTATTGTATCTGTTGTTTTTTTATTGTATCAAGTAAATGGTTCGGAATGTTCGAAGTGTTGCAATCACGCGGTGATTATCGGTTTCGTAAGCGAATCGTGTCGGTCGCGTTACACCTCGGCACACCTCGATGAACCCTTTTCGATCGAAAGTCAATTCGATATCCATTATTCGCCGCGTGAAGAGCTAACAAGGAAATGGTGCCGTTGCGGGACGTCGCGATGTAAAATGATTTACATATTCGTCCGGTGCAAAAAGCGCATAGATTCGACGGTAAAAGTCTTAACGAGGGTCACTTAAAAAGTCGAAAGCGATTAGACGGCACACGAGGTATTTAAACTGCTTTAGGACACCGTTCCGTGACGGAACGAAGGCAACGTTATTTTTGCAGAATTCTTTGTCACGCATCGCAATTTCCAGAACAAATGGTTCTACACCTATAAATCTCTCTCTCTCTCTCTCTCTCTCTCGCGCGCGCGCGCCACAAACGAACCATTNCAGCAACCTGCACATGGTCGTCGACAACAATCCCCAGGAGAGCAAGTCCACCAGAGTCTACCGGAAGTCATCCGCGCCTCCTTGTTCCAGGCTATCGACTGTTTCGTCGGCTAGCACGGAGCCTCCTGTAGACGATCAGAGACTCGCCGAGAATCGGGAATTGGAAGCAGCGGAAGGGAGCTTCCAGATCCTGGTGAACCGAGCGATTTTCAAGGACGAGGTCTGTCGGAGCACGCCGGAGTCGGATAACAGCTCGAGCAGGATGGAACGAAGGCAGACCGAGAGGACGTTCGATACTTTCTGGGACCCGTTGTTCGAGAGGGTCCTTCAGTGGCTGGACTTGTCGGGGAGGGCGCAGAGTTACGAGTTCGAGGAGGACTTCGCGGATAACTCGCCGAGGGAAGAGGACCGGAAGTGGAGGCTCATGAAGAGGAGGATGCCGACTTTCAAGCGGGAACCGTTCGCTGGGAAGGAGAGAGTCGTGATACAGAATTATAAACTCCGGAAGGACGACAATACCGAGGGCGCCAGGAGGAACGAGAACACGACCGTACGGAGGAAGTTGCCGAAGATACGTGGCGCGAGGCAGGATCGAAACGACGACACATCGTCGGATCTACTGTTTTGCGTGTCCTCTGCGAAGGCGAGTCTGAAGGTGGAGGAGAACGAGTCGAAGGAGGAAGTTCGGATCCGGGACAGGGTGTCCGCGGTTTGGTCTCCGCCGAGGCGTCTTCAGCTGCACGTGATGATGCCGAATCTAGCTTCCACGGAGAACACGTCCTCGCAAGAATCGTTGATCAACGATTAGGACGATATTTTTCTATACATCGCCGTAGTCTATAAATCGTACGAATTTTTATACCAGTAGTTTACGCGAGGAGCTTCCTGTTTTCATATCTTCTGTAAATCTTTGCGTCTGCTCTTTGAAGTTAGTTGTAGAAGTCGACGTAGAGTAGTCGAGCAGCTCGACGATTTTCCAGAGGTAATTAGCTCGTATGACCCGTAACTTTATCTAAATATCGAATTTCTTGTTATTGTATCTGTTGTTTTTTTATTGTATCAAGTAAATGGTTCGGAATGTTCGAAGTGTTGCAATCACGCGGTGATTATCGGTTTCGTAAGCGAATCGTGTCGGTCGCGTTACACCTCGGCACACCTCGATGAACCCTTTTCGATCGAAAGTCAATTCGATATCCATTATTCGCCGCGTGAAGAGCTAACAAGGAAATGGTGCCGTTGCGGGACGTCGCGATGTAAAATGATTTACATATTCGTCCGGTGCAAAAAGCGCATAGATTCGACGGTAAAAGTCTTAACGAGGGTCACTTAAAAAGTCGAAAGCGATTAGACGGCACACGAGGTATTTAAACTGCTTTAGGACACCGTTCCGTGACGGAACGAAGGCAACGTTATTTTTGCAGAATTCTTTGTCACGCATCGCAATTTCCAGAACAAATGGTTCTACACCTATAAATCTCTCTCTCTCTCTCTCTCTCTCTCGCGCGCGCGCGCCACAAACGAACCATTTCTTAATTTTCTCTGGTTTTACTTTTCCGGTTGTGCTCGTACCGTTATGGAAATTTGCCGCAGTCGTTCGTGGGACCTAATTAGAGCTTGCATTGTCTCGAAGCGAAAGATTTATGAATTTTAATATTCGCATGGATTTTCTTGTTTCGCTGCTACGTATTTTTCTTGTCGCAGTATAGTAATTCTTAACGCAAAAATATTCCACCAAATACGCTCACATTTCTGGAACAATTTACACGCCTGCGGCACATCGAGCCTCGATAATTTATTAGAATCTCCGGATCGCGTGATGGTGTCCCCCAACAAAGAACGTTAATACCATAATTGCGCGGCGACATGTTTCAAGAAGTTCGTAAAACCTTGTCTCTCGGGAATATTTATCGCGACATACTGGGAATATAGTGTCGATCTTATCTCGGACGACAATTCCTACCGAAAAGTTTCCAGTTAATCAACATTGCAGTGGTCGCTTTAAGTCTTACCCTGGCAAGAAAAGTGATTAGGGACGACGGTGAACGCAATGCCGGAATCAGGCATGCAATTCCACCGCAATTTCATTAGTAGCGTTCTTATCTTAATCCTAATCGTTTCTACATTTTCTTTTTGGGCGATACGAATTCTGATCGATATCTTATGTTAACCATAGATTCTACAGATTTTGAGCAAATACTGTTATGGCATCCTCAGTTTATCAGAACAATTGGTAGAAGAAATGAATGCCCATCCGATTCCAACATTTTGCAGTTACTTCAGAAAATGTTGGTCTTCTCCAAAGATTCATAATAATTTAATTTATTTATATATACGGATAAAAACCTATTTTTTACAGTACAGAACTAAATGCTAATATTAATGTAATACAGAATCTGCGAATCAGCGGTTTAGGTGAACAGTTCATGCAAGCTTGTTTTGAATTTTGTGATATTGCAAATACCTTTATTTTTGTCGCTATCGTCATTAACAATTTGTAGTGTAATATTCCGGTAAGATTAGACGGATTGATCCGTTAGATAATGGTCGAGAAACGAAAGCTTGCGAAAATGAAATTCAATCTTGCAGTTCAGTACCTATAAAATCGCATCGAATGCGAAGACGATATTCAACGCGAAGCTGATTGTAAAATTGTATTCGCGGAGCTCGTCCCGAGCTAAAAGAAACTCCATTTACGAGGAACGAATAGGGGCGCGATAAGCTTGAAAGGGAATTGATCCAAGTTGAATTGATTTCGCCGAGTGTTCTCGACTTTTAGGAAGTGTTTTACCCGAGTCGTTCCACGGGAACCGCGTTTTCGACGCGGCCGCGTGGTTATCGCGTCGATAGGCTCGAGAATGCAGCTCAATTGAAACTTTTCGATGGGAATCTGCGAGCTATCTCGAGGATTCCGTGCCGAGTGGTAGTTATTGCCGTGCTTGGCGCACAATGGAAAGCTCTCCCGGCGCTAATCACTGTAGGGTGGACTGTTCGAAACAAACCGTGGTGTAACATTCCGTACGGGCGCACCACCGCTTTTGCTCGCGATTACGCCGGCTATGCGGTTTTCGGGCAAACGGAAACAATGCGGATACGTCACGGATGTAACGCAACCATAACTAAACTCGGGCCGGAGCAACGGGACGTCGCGAACCATTAAGTTCTATCCGAATGTTGGAACTGTTCGAGCATCACTTTCTATGTACACGAACAGTTTAGAAACAGGCCTCCGAGTTTATGAAATCGACGAGCTACATCGCAAACCGTTGCGAATTTTGTTAACCGTTGTCCGAAAACAACGTTATCTTTCGGCCTCTTTTCCAGATAAATCGATGGACTTCTCCCGAAACAAATATTCGATTCGAAACCGCATATCACATAATTATAGAAGCCTCTTTCTCAGACATAGTTTTCCTAAAAGCTGTACCTGTTCCCACGTGCTAGATTTTCTACTGTCGATCGTTGAAATTGCAGAGGAATTTCGTTACAGCAATATCTTCTAAAGCAACTGCAAGAAACGGCAATCGAATAGGAATTAATTTCTTCCCCTATCGTTTTGAATAGCTAGAGCAAAGTGTGATTATAAGACTGCGGATCTTCGCGCAAAATAGAAATCTTCCGAAACCATTGCTTCAAGCAATTGTTGTTTAATAAAGTGAAAATAGTGTAATTATATTATTAAATTCTTCTTATGTCTTTAATAATATAATTACACTATTTCCACTTTGTTAAACAACAATTGCTTGAAACAATGCTTTTGGAAAATTTCTATTTCGCACGAAGATCCGCAGTCTTAGAATCACACTTTGCTAATTCTGCTAAAATTGCTAATTCTTCTTATGTCTTGGCAATTTTATACTTCAGCTGCGCACAGTTTTGTTATAAGCGCATCAAATCGGCCGTTTAGCGATTACGAAATATTATCTTGGCAATCGTCTGAATTTTAGGACCAGCTAGAAACATTGAAGAGTTTAGCCCCGGGCGCTGACCCCGGGAAATTATCGCAATTGTTGTCCTGCGCGCACGCTTTGGTCACAGAAGAGGCTGTATCATTAGGTCTGCCAGATTTCCCCTTGGACAACTTAACGTCGGCTGCTGTAATAATGGTGAGCATCGCCAACTCCCGAACACCATTTTGCCCGAATCATAGAGCCATTATTTAATTTGGAATTTATCGCAGGACAAGTGTCCACACCTGCCGGTATTCGATATATTTTACAGGTTCTACCCGTATAAACTGTTTTTGGGTAAAGAGGGCCAGACAGCCGTCGAGGATATACTGAGGACATTCGATATCCTACATTCGGCGACGAAGGACGCTGAACTGACGAGACGCGTGCACGTGAACGAGAAAATGAATAATTCCGCGAGCGTTTCCATACAGCACGGTAGCGTGGAAACAACGTTGAACGTAAGTTTCACTTTCGACGGGGAATGTCACAGACTTGAATCTAAAAATTTGAACTTCTCAATTAAAATCCAACATTTCACCAACAGGTCCCTTGCGGTACAAATCCTGTTGCACGGGAGAGCAATTACGTAGAAACGAATTATCAGAACAATCTGCTGACCGGTTTGATAGAGACGCACTTGGTTTCGGACTTGTGCCTGATCGGTCCAAAGGGTTGTGGAAAATCTACAACCGTGCAGACATTTGCCGATCTAATGGGGTACCAGGTAGAACCGGTGGTTCTTTTTCAGGTGTGTACTTGTTTACCGTAGTACTGCTAATCCTGATTGGATGTCTCGAGTTTGGAATGACTTTTGAAAAATCTTTTCAGGACATGACTTCAAGGGACTTGATTCAGCAACGAACAACATTGGCGAACGGTGACACGGTCTGGAAAGATTCGCCCTTGGTCGACGCTGCTTTGCACGGAAAATTGGCAGTACTGGATGGAATTAACAGAATCCATCCGAGCACTTTAGCAATACTACACAGGTAGTTCTGAATTAATTTGGCAATGTGTTCGCAACGGATGAACAAAATATCGTTTGCTTGTAGACTGGTTCTTGACCGCGAGCTCCAGCTACACGATGGCAAGAGATTGATCAGAGCAGACCATTACGACGAGATAAAAAATGAATACAACAAGTCAGACGAAGACATGCAGAATTCAGGAGTGCTACGCATTCATCCGTCCTTCAGAATCGTGGCCTTGGCGGAGTCGCCGTTGATCAACAACCCGTCAGGACAATGGCTGAACTCGGAGCTACTCAGTTTGTTCCTCTTCCACGAGATGAGGCCGCTTGCTAAATCGGAGGAGCTGCATATCATTCGATCCAAGGTGTTTGTCCTTGTATTAAAATGTTTATCTAACACTTTCATGGTTGTACTATTGAAAATATTTCAGTGGGTTTCATGTTCTAAACAACTTGCGTTGTTTCAGTTCGGCGAGCCGTCGGAAGCGTTGTTGAGCATTTTAGAACTGGCACACGTGCTGCGATCCTCCAACGATCCTATTCTGCAGTCTTTGGCGGCCTCGTTGAGCACCAGACAGCTTTTGAGGATCGCGGAGAGAATGTTAAAGTTTCGCAACGACGACGCTTACGACGCGGTGCAACGCGCGTGTTTAGCTCGTTTTTTGCCTGCGGTAGCTAAGAACGCTCTCGAAGACAGTTGCAAACGAATCGGTATAGTTCGAACGACAAGTATTCCGAGTACAGAGATGAAGTGTGAGGTGATGGGAAACGCGGTGAAAATTGGGAACACGGTCGTTGATCGATACGAAACGACCGCTCTAACGAAAGTGCCTGATATTTTGTTCTACGACGTGCCGCAGCACGTTGCTTTGCTGGAGAAGCTGCTGCAGGACTTTAGTTTAGGACAGCATCTCCTGCTGGTCGGGAATCAGGGTGTCGGCAAGAACAAAATCGTTGACCGGTTTCTGCAACTCTTGAACAGACCGAGGGAGTACATACAGTTGCACCGAGACACGACTGTTCAAACTTTGACCCTGCAGCCGATGGTCCGGGACGGCAAAGTTGTGTACGAGGACTCACCGCTCGTACAGGCTGTTAAATTGGGTCACGTGCTCGTCGTTGACGAGGCGGACAAAGCTCCCACCAATGTCACCTGTATCTTGAAGGTGTGACTATATAAGTACAATTTACTGCTAACAGTATCTCACTTACTAGAGACATTTTTATTATTGAATGTAACGTACTCTATGTTTCACATTTTTTTAACGTATTTCTTTATCGAATTCAGACGTTAGTGGAGTCTGGAGAAATGATATTATCTGATGGTAGACGAATCGTTCCCTCAACAAGCGTTGCCAGGCAATATGCAAATGCAATAGTGCTCCATCCAGACTTCAGGATGATCGTACTGGCGAACAGGCCTGGCTTTCCATTCTTGGGTAATGATTTTTTCGGAGCTATGGGAGATTTGTTCAGCACGCACGCAGTTGACAATCCAAGTGTCGAGAGTGAGATTCAGCTTTTAAAACAATATGGTCCAGGCGTGGATGAAAGAATAATATTAAAGCTGGTGAAAGCTTTTGGAGAGTTGCGGGATATGGCTGACCAAGGTTTGGTTTCATATCCGTATTCCACTCGAGAAGTTGTTAATATTGTGAAGCATTTAGAGGTGAGGCATTGACATTTAATTTTCGATGTTTCATAGGAATATCTTCATGTTATTTGTACTTTCAGAAATTTCCCCAAGAACCTTTGGCTAACGTAGTGCAGAATGTATTCGATTTCGATCGATATAGCAAAGAGGTTTTCGATACTCTAGTCTCCGTCCTACATAAACATGGGATCGCGATAGGAACTAGTCCTACTAATATTGCGTTAGCGAAAGAGTAAGATATTAAATGTAGATAAACGTTGTTTAAACAATTTTCATTTGGTACAAATAAAAAGTATGTTTATTTAAAACGTGCGTTTTTATTCTTGCATGATAAGTTGATGCTAATGGATTCCAGTACGAGAATGGTTTTGGTTTTAATATTGGTTTTAATATTTTCTACTGTTTTTCTATTTCAGAATATCGTTCCCAGAAAACAAGACTAGAATTATTTGGGAAACTTTGGGAAAGCCAGAATTATTGCTTGTTCAAGAAAGATACATCAAGTTGAGATCACCTGTACGATTAAGACAAACCGATTTGCCATTAGACTGCATTGAAGCTAGATCAAATTTGTTCAGCGAATTGCAAAGGTATTGGACGATACCGATTGGTGATACTAGTGGGATTGCAGGCTTGACAGTGGCTAAAGGCTCTAAAGACGATGGCACAGATGATAATATTCATATCCTAGTATCGAATCCTTTGAGAATCTTCAGCATGCACCAGGAATCGGATATGGTTCAGGAAACTATGATACAAGGTTTAATAAATGTGGATAGTGCCAGGCCTGTGTATAATGTAACAACTGATAATGACCAAAATGTTTTAGTGCATGAAGAGAATGTAAGTAATTTTGGAAATAGATTCAATTTTCTATTTTAATTTGATCCTATTCAACTTATGGAATTATTTATTTTCAGAGTAATAGCTTGTTAATGGTTAATTTAAACAACCGATCTGCTCAGCAACTGCAGTTAGTATCGTTCTTTGACATGGCATCGGACAAAATATCGCACAGCTTTGGAGTCGGAAAGAAAATTCTGTGGAAGATGAAAAGTGATTTGTTGCAGTCTCACGGCCAAATTGTTTTCTACACTTATAATTCCAATAAGATAGATGTGATCAATTTACATTCGTCGAACGCCTACACGATCAATTTACCATTCTATTTAAACTCAGTTTTGGTTGCGTCCGACAAGAAATGGATGATTCAGGATATGTCTGGAAAAAAATACATACTTAAGAAATCTGTCGATTCGTCTCCTTGTCCCAACGCTCTGCAAGAATTAAACAGTCGAGAAACAGAGGAGGCTGGAGCAGAAGTTGGTTCGTTACAAGGTTGCACGAAAACTAACTTACACATTAGTACAGTCACTGCAGCCTTACAACAGAAGATTGATGCTCCCAACAGACTGCTGGTGACCGACAACATGTATGCCGGAATTGCTGTCGGATTTCCTGATCTGGACAGCTTTACCGAATTTCATTTCTGGCCAAGAAAACAGCAGATCAGAAATTCCATTCCTCCTATTCCTATGGAAAATGGACAAGTCGTTCGAGTCGTTGAAACTGGAGAAGTACCTAGTGAAATCCTTTCATCGAACGGCAGAGGCTATGAAATCTTCCACTATTTAGAAGTGGCTGATATTACGGATCGTAAGCTACGTTATGTCCCCGTACCACAGTAAGTGGCAGTTCTCATTTGCTATTAAGTTCCTTCACTGATTTATTTTTATACTAATTTAAAAAATATTTTAGACCGAGCAAGGTATCACATATGGTTGAAGTTTTGTTCGCTCACCATCATCCTGTCTACGCTGCGACAAAGTCGAATCATGATTTGGTAACAGTCGACGCAGGTGGTTGTCTTCGCCTATGGGAGACGTCTGTGGCAAACATTGTAAAATCATTGGATGAATGGAGGAAGATGGTCGGCAACGACAATGAGAGATTGCAAATTACCAAAGAGAGGTATTCCGGATTGGACGTTAGTGGTCCGAAGCGTGGTAAATTTGACGAGAAAAACGAGCCACACGTTGGAGGAAATACGTGGGCTGGCGGAACTGGAGGTATAGTATACAACGTTTGAATAATACAATCACGGGTTGAGTGTTCAATGAAATTTTCAGGCAGAGATACAGCTGGCCTTGGCGGTAAAGGTGGACCCTATCGTTTGGACGCTGGCCATACAGTGCATCAGCTTAGCGACCAGGAAAAGAACGCTGTGCCGGATCATATAAAAAAAGCAGCACGGGAAATGGGATTAAAAGCATTTAAACAACGCTTGAAGGACATTAGAATGAAGGAGTACGATCATGAGGTGTACTCGCGGTTCAGCGGCCCTGTGCAAAAGCAGGTTCAGGCCTTGAGAAATATAATAGGTACAAATGCATCTGCCTCTTATCTTCGCGACTATTTTTTGGAAAAAGATTCTTAAAGACAAGAATCCATGTTACAGGAAGTCTGCAAGCTAAAAGCAAAGAACGAGAATGGTGCAGGCATCAAACCACAGGCGAATTGGATGATACGAAGCTAATAGAGGGTTTAACGGGAGAAAGAACGATTTATCGAAGAAGGGCGGAGAAGGAACCCGAACCTGGTACACTACCGTCGAAGCCAAAACGTTTGAAATTAGTGGTCGATGTATCGGGTAGCATGTACAGGTTTAACGGGTACGATGGACGTCTCGATAGAGAGATGGAGGCCTGTGTTATGGTAATGGAAGCGTTCAGCGGGTACGAAGGGAAGTTTCAATACGATGTCGTTGGCCATTCCGGAGATGAATACAACATTGTTTTCGTAAAGCACACTCAACCTCCTACAGATAATAGACAAAGGCTGGGAGTGATACAGGTGATGAGATTCAAGAAATGATTTACTAATTATAAAACAATTAAATATCGTCTTTCTGCTTCCGAAGGAGACGGATATTATTTGAAACAGTGGAACTCAGTATTTTGAAAGAAACAATATTTTCCAGATGATGCACGCGCATTCGCAGTTTTGTATGTCCGGCGATCACACTCTGGAGGCAACACAGCATGCAATCGCAAGTCTCGCCAAGGAAGATTCCGACGAGTCTATAGTTGTTGTATTGTCCGATGCCAATTTGGAGCGCTATGGCATACGTCCGGAGGCGTTTTCCAGAGTTCTAATGTCGAATCCGGACGTGAACGCCTACGCCATATTCATTGGATCTTTGGGTGATCAAGCAGCAAGGTAAGTGCAGTAGAAATATATCTTTTTGTTATATTACATTATCAGTTTTATTAATCTGTTACAATTTAATTTTTACTGTGATAATTATGCAATGAATATTTACAAAATTACATTCTAAATTTATTGTTTTGTATCATTGATTCCTGAAGTCCGCATTATAGTAGCAATTCAATTAAAGCAATTTAATTAAAGAGGAACGGTTTTAAAGCAGAAAGGTAAAAGCATATTTAATTTTAAGATTGATGCAGAAGATGCCATCAAGCCGAGCGTTCATCTGTATGGACCTTAGGGATATACCTCGAATTTTACAGCAAATATTCGCAGTTTCTTTGCTAAGTACCACGAGACCCAATTAGAGTACCGCTCTGGTAAATCAAGTACCTGTGAATATTTGCAATGATGTGGAAGAAAACAGTGTATGATAGTGTACATTTTACTTTTAAATGCATATATGGTTCGGAGATAGTGTAAATATAAATTTTTAACTCTATCGATCTTTTAAACGTTTTCTATTATATAAAGATGACAAGGTATATAACATTATGCTAAACTACAAAAATTCCATTTTTATTTTAAACACGAGCATATTAAACTACATGTTCGTTCGCATGCTTTCAATTAGTTCGTAAGAAAATGTACAGATGTGAAAATAAAGTAAAATCTGTAATAAAGTTCACGAATCTTTTTCATCTACCGATCTATATCCATCGATGTCTTTCTAATTCCTATCCTACCAAGTCGTGCGCTCCAATATCCAAGATCTTTATTTACATAAACATCCGTGAAAAAATCAATAAGACCCGAAACATTCACTCCACCATTCAGTCTTCCAGTAACACCCAAAATCCTTTCTATTTTACAAGAAAGTATTTTCCACTAAATCATCTCATTTCCTATGTTCCAGGCTAATAGAAAACCTGCTGCCACAGCATCCGAAATTCCTAGCGAGACCAAAGTCATTTATTCCTCCATTAACCATCCACTCGAACATTCGCAAGACCATCCCAAGCAGTGGCGACAACTTTCGCACCCCATTTCACGCGTTAATCTTCATCATCCACTTGGGTTCCTTCGCCACCACCATCGCGTTGCAGCAGAGTCGTCGTTAGGGCATAGCGCGCAGAGATACAACTGGCAACAATTACAAAAAAACAAAGCAATAAACCGCTCGGGAAAGACAAGAACATCGTCGCCTGAAAAAACCGAATACTTGCCGAACGAGTGGCGCACGTGTCACCATGGAAAATTAGGGCAGGGGTAGTCGGAAGAGGGTCGCGCATCTCGAGAAGCCGTCGTCTGGCCGGGCAGGTAGGCGGTCAGGTGGGCGAGTAGGTGGGCGGTCTACAGTTTTCGGGGTTCGGTGCGCTAGTTCCGGGGGTGGCGTCGCCAGCCGAGGTTCGCCGACACGAGTCGAGATCGAGCGCCGGTTCGGTTCGGTTCGGGTCGGGCCAGGTCGCGTCGGGTCGTGGGTGGTGTGGGGTGCGCATTTGTTAGTCGCACGCCGGTCGTTGAATGGAGCGGGTGTGGAGACGCGTACAAGGCGCCGGGCGTCGCGGTGCCGCAGCCCGGTGTGGCTGCCCTGTGCAGCCGTGTCAGCTGCACGTGGACCAACGCGCGAAACGCGGCGGCGGCGGCCGGAAATCCCGCGGCGGACCGCAGACGATCGTGTGCGGTTGCCAGGTGCAGCCGTGCCCGGTTCACCCGGTTCTGATCAGGGTTCGTCGTACACGGCCCGCGGTTACCAACTGCGATTGTCCACCCGAGTTGCAGCCCTGTCCTCACGCACCGCCGCGTACCTCGGCCTTGCGTCGAGTCCGCAGGTAAATAAACCGCGTCCCCCGCGAACGATCGTCCTCCTCTTCGGCGATCCATCTCCTCCTACGCCGCCGTCTCCTACAGCTGTTGGCCCACCCCCGCAGCACCCACGCGTTCCGAACCATTCCGCGACAAAGGGGTGGCAGGCACGAAGGTCACAGTAACGACGTGTTGATCGTATTTACGGACACACCGAGCTGACGCGAGTCCCGAAAGCCTGGCCATTCCCTTCGCGAAGGCAGCCCAGGTGCAACGGACGATGCGTTCGGCGTGTCGCGTGCCGTCCGGGACTCGCTCCTAACACCCTGTGTAGTCCGAGTCGGAACACTCGCGTGATTCTATTATGCCAGATTAGCAGGGTTTATCGACTGACGACCCGTCCGGACCCCGACGGGATAGATTGGTTTTACTGGGATCGAGTTCTACAGGTAGCTTAGTGGGTGCACGAACCTCTGACCCTAGGTCGTACAAGTTTCTCGAGGCTTCGCCTCGATGATATACAGTTTCGGTGTAGTTTGTTGACGAAACGGCGACTTTCTACTGAAAATATGTTGGAATTCTAGAGGAATGTTCATCGATACTTGGACTTGTCCTTTGACTCGGCTCCTCGGAAACACGTCCTCTGCGAATGTTTCGCGAACGTTCGCATCGGTTTCTTGGCGAACCAAGGGGAAAGTCCTCGAAACGGTTGCTTAATAGGAAAAATATGTGCCGAAATTCTGGAGGAACGCTCTCAAGAGAATCGATACTATGGAAATTCGACGTCGATCGTACTTTACAACTGGGTCCTCCGCTCGCAGATAATTCTATTCTCTCGAGTCTTCGCAAAGAGACGCCTTCTAGCGAACGAAACTTAAATATTCGCGTTACTTTCTTGCGAAATCCTGGAAGACACGATCTCGCATTGAAGTCGAAATCCTCGAGTGCTCTCGGATACTTGTAGAATCTGTAGAAGTATCGAGTAGTTTGAAAATCCGACAAGGTTCGTGTTTTCTTCGTGTTTCCTTCGTTTTCTTTCTCGAATGCATCTACAGTTCGTCGTCGTGTTGTTAACGTTGCGCAAGGGATGATTGCATATCGTAAAGCAAGTCGAGATTGTAGAGGAACGTTAGGTTCTTTCCACGTTTATGAAAGTATTGATCCCTTTGAAAATTCGATACGATATCTGTTACTGTCTCCGCGCGAATCTATCTCGACTGTACACACAATTTCTTCCGGAACCAGGTAAAATTGTCGAAGGGTAAATTCTGCGTCCAGGATAAGAGATAGGAGAAATGTTCTCAAATATTAACCCTCGGACGACGGGCCATTCGCAACCGTACTATCGACGATTTTTATAACAATTCCGAGCTTTATTCGGCAATCTTTCAAAACATATTTCCGAAGATATTTTTCGTAGACTTATTAGCCTTTTTCTGATTCCTGACATAACAGTAACTTATTTTATTTATTTTTATAACAATTCCGAGCTTTATTCAGCAATTTTTCGAAACATATTTCCGAAGATATTTTTCGTAGACTTATTAGCCTTTTTCTGGTTCCTGACATAACAGTAACTTATTTTATTTATTTTTATAACAATTCCGAGCTTTATTCGGCAATTTTTCAAAACATATTTCCGAAGATATTTTTCGTAGACTTATTAGCCTTTTTCTGGTTCCTGACATAACAGTAACTTATTTTATTTATTTTTATAACAATTCCGAGCTTTATTCAGCAATTTTTCGAAACATATTTCCGAAGATATTTTTCGTAGACTTATTAGCCTTTTTCTGGTTCCTGACATAACAGTAACTTATTTTATTTATTTTTATAACAATTCCGAGCTTTATTCAGCAATTTTTCGAAACATATTTCCGAAGATATTTTTCGTAGACTTATTAGCCTTTTTCTGGTTCCTGACATAACAGTAACTTATTTTATTTATTTTTATAACAATTCCGAGCTTTATTCAGCAATTTTTCGAAACATATTTCCGAAGATATTTTTCGTAGACTTATTAGCCTTTCTCTGGTCTCTGATATAACAGCAACTTATTTTATTGATATGCCGAAAATTGTTTAACGAAGCGAACAACGAAAATACTCTGGGTCAAAAATGACCTAGTTAGAGTCTTGCGAGGGAAAAGCGGCGTCTCGTGGAAAAACGGTCTCGAGTCTTGTAGGGAAAGAAATCGAAAAAGTCGATAAGTTCTTGGCTTTTGGAAAGCCGAGATGCGCTTTCTTCCTGTGCCCGATCATCGTCAGACACTACTACTGACCCCGAATATTGATCACGCGGTCACCGGTGTGTGTGTGTGTGTGTGTGTTTTTCTGTTCGTGTTTCAACTGTCGCTAGATTAAATCAAATTAGTTTAAACAACGGTGCTGTTTGTCATCGCGACCGACCACTATTGAACATGTTAATATCAGTGGAATAACCAGCGATGGTCGGACACGCCGGCTAAGTGGTGCTCAAACACACGCGTCCCCGATCAATTTTCAGCTTCGATTTATTCCAATATGGAGTCTCGGCGCGAGAAACATTTATTCTGTTTTTTCAAGTTATTCAGTCACGTAGAATTATCCCTTCGTTTCGAACATTCGCTGACATTTCGATGACAGATTGCGTATCCCCTCGAAACTTTCTGTCGCACGGTGCTAAAATCGTATCGCACGTTCGGCTCTGTGCATTCAGTGTTTTTATATCTTTTTAGAATCAGCATTAAAATCTGGGGTCGCTGAATTTTTCAATCGGCGCGCTCGCTGTTGAATCGCCGTGGAACGAAATACATAATGTAATGAACGAGACCGAAACTGTGTGCAGAGAGAAAATTCATCGTGGCATTTATAAATCCCAATGAAATTCAATTTTCAACGAGAATATTAGAAATCTGCAGACACCACACGTGCGGTTCGTGAAAATGTCGCAAGTTCGCGAATTCGTCGCGATCGAAGAATGATTCGACACTTCGTTGAGCGGCATACGTGTACGTGCGACTTCGTTTCGTATTTTTGAGATGTGCCGCCGTAGTTAAGGGTTAACGACACTCCCGTCGTCGTGCAATAACACCGGACGATAAGATCTTAATCTGCAAGTGCAAGCGGAACGTATAGTGCAATTACTTTTAATGAGATTTAATGGTATCGGTATTACAGCAATTAATACGCCGTTTGTCTTCGAGTCGGCGATGTGATCGTGCAGTTCTATTGTGATGATAAAGCGAGCCGCTTAAACGTCCATAAAATGTCCAGTGGCGCGAACAGAAGCAATTCGAGGTAATAAAAAGCAATGCTTTCAATGCCGCGATTAAGAAAAGTGCGCGTATCGTTGGAAAGTACATTCAAAAATTAGATTCGATAGCCGAATTTCACGGTGTCTTTCATATTCGTGTAAAATTGGTAAAATTCTCGCGAGTTCGATTAATGTTTGCAACATTGTGGGCAAATATTGGCGAACGAAGTATACGGTGTTTATAACATATATTTGAATTTCGCTGTTGTACATTTAAATTTCGATCGTTGTTTATTAAATTGCAATTTCGTTACGCTGCTATTTAACCCCGGATACATGTGTCTCGTTCGGTGCAATGTAAAATACGTACTAAAATTGTTTGCTTGTGTCGAGTCAATGAACAAACGACGTTCCCAACGTGTAATACCAATAATTAATTTTAGTGTACACGTTCGAGTCTGCGAAACGAAAGATCGTTCGGGCAGAGGGGTAATCTTTCGTGTAATATGGAATGTGCATCGCGCGAATGTGTTTATAGTGCGGTTGCTTTTGTGATTGGGCGGCCGGTGTTCAATCGGACGTCGGCCGTCAATTTTCGATTTACTTGTAACGCGATTGTACACGTTTACGTCGCAAATGCTTTTATCAAATTCATTTTAAATTTCGTGTAGATTTCATTTCGGTGCTCGACACCGATCGACACCGATCACCGCGGCGCATCATCGAAAATTTATGCATCCTAAGAGGAAATCGACGATATTCCATTTTCAACCGAGTCTTTTTCATAACAATTCTCGATTCGTCGTTCGACGATAATAGATCATTGCGCGTTTCAATATTTCATTACATCGTTGCCCGGTTCCAACGAGGAACTCTCGGCGATTGCAGTACTCCATTTTTCCCTCGTTTCGCGTCCCACTTTGTTGCACAACTTTTAAACGTTACCGCCGCTTCGACGTGTAACACGGGAACTCGGCTATTATTTATCGTTCGGCTGTCTAAACTGAATCTCGAGAACCTTTCGATTAAAATATAACGCGCGAACTAAATGCTGAAAAATAAACGGAGAAATCGCTGGTCGCTAGAAGGACGATGGGCAGGAAGAATTTCAGGAGAATATCGATACATCATGATTAGACTGCGAAAGTTTATGCATAACCATATGCATAACGTAAAATGCATATGACATTACGCACGAAAAATATGCAAAATATGCAAAGTGTGCAGCTATATATTGTATGTGGTATAAAGCGTAGATTACGGATTTTTATATAACATGAATATCGTCTGTATTTATTACGACATACAAGAGCGTTAAATATTTATTTTATACTAGATATTTATTTGTACATTTATTTCTTTTCCTAATCATTTTAAGAAGTCCAAGATAATACAGTTTCACATCGTAAATGCATAAAATCTACGGTCCAATAAGGAACAATCTATCAGTATGTTACAGAATATTCACTGTATACATATATGTACATAAAACGCTTATCACAATTATTGCGATACGTTATAGTTCGTCCGATTAGAAAAATTCCGAGAATTTTTTTTCGAATTTAACGTTGTTAATAATTTAACTTGTACACGGAGAATGATCACTCTACAATGTATTATTGCATATGTTCTTAAATATAAACGTGCAAAATGCATACATTATGCGAGAAGTGTAATTTCAGCGGTCTAATTATCATCGACGTACTAAAATTGTTCAAGGAAGAAACAAACTTTCTTTTCAATTGGTTATTTAATGTCGCGCCAACCACTTATGGGTTATTAGCGACTCGGTTGGGTTACAGTCTGCTATACTAAGCAGCCTGCTTTAATTAAACATATTAACAGCCTGCTATACAGCCTGCTTTAATTGAACAAAATATTTATTTAGTCCTATTTCGACGTGGACAAATTTCATTCCGCGACAACGAACGATCGTGCGGCGTTAATCCTGGTTTCGTGTAACGAGCATAAAGAGACAGGAGAAGGAAATCGCCATAGGAAGCTGTTGCAACAGCAAAGCTCTGTTTCGAGCCGCCCTATCGTCGCGAGGGTTCAAATCTCGAAGCCCGTCACGTCTCCGCAGCGAATCAGATCACAAAAGAGCAGACAGCAGAGGTCACGTCCCAGCCGGACGAAGTCAAACGAGTCAGATACAGGTGGGCCACAATACGGCGAGCACAAGATGTTCTTGATTATGGCAGGAGCCGATAGTAGTCGCCGGAAGTTGTCTAGTCCAACGTGGGCCAACTCCGCCGTCAGCGACAGAGATGCTCCGGGGTTCGACTAGGGTAGTTGTCCCAATTTCTGTATCTCCGTATTAAAAACGTATCGATGATCCTTGATCTTTTTATTATGTTTATTTATGAATATGCAAGGTTTGCAGAGAAGTAGTTTACGTGTTAAAATGCAGTAAATATTTTTCAATCGATGCTACAGCAGTTACGACGAGTTTAATTAGTGTACGACTCGTCAAAAATTGGGAGAAATGCTTGCCGAAGATTTCCTGGTAAATTAATTGATTATTAATGTGATTTACGTGATTTACAAAGCGTATATTATACGATAAGAGTGTTCCATTTAGTACCAACGACGATAACAAAAACCGCTAATCGTGTACATTTTTGTATCTAAAATAGATTGTAAATAAAATAAATCCGGAAATAGGATCAGATTTTAGAACATGTTCGTATCTCAGTGCGTTCTTGTATTGGACCGCGTAATCAAACTTAATCTCACTTTGTGAAAACAATATTATGAGAAAAGGAAAACAGATCGGAAACGCTATTAAAAGAAGCACGGTAATTGCAGGAGATGTCTATATGGTAGAAACAGGGGGCGTAGAAGTATAGGCAGACACGAAAGTATGATCCAGCACAAATATACAATGCACAGACACAGAGATACGAGTCACGGAATTATGTGCAGAGCCACCGAAAGGACAGAGAATTAGAGTCGAAAACATCTATTTTTATTTCATTAAGAACATTATTAAATTACTAATTCCTGTCACGCAAAATAAAAAAGATATATTTCTAAAGACAGAAATATGTGAAAACTCGAAATATATTTTCAGTACATTCGATAAAGCTTGGAGTATTTATTGACAGCTTCGTCGAAGCAAAAACTGGCTTGAAGGCACGGGAATTGGGACATCGACTTTTCAGTGGGATACGGATGATCCAGATACTGTACGATCCGAGGATTCTCCGATCGATCGAGCCGAGGAAGTCGGATAAGGGCAATTAGAGCTCGTCGAGCGCGATGGGACTTGGTCGGGTTACCGATCGTTTTTGTGGTTTCGATCCAGCTCGGTTTTCGACAGGTGAACGAATCTCATCGATTCCGCGACTAGGACCCGGCACCGGCGACCTATCCACAATGGAACACCCCGCTGGGAACGCGCAGTTAGGCCCCAATCAGGATTACGTTTCCGCATTAGCGTTTAGTCAGATCTATTCGGTCGATCGGGGGGACTGCGTTTCGGTTTGAATGCTCTTGCACATCGCTGGTTGCTTTGTAACTTTGGCTCGCCGCGATTTGCCTGGCGATAGGTCGAATGTTAGGCGACATTCGTTAACTATGGATAATAAACTGTTCAGCAAAATTCGTTAACTCTTTATCGTCAGCCAATCTCGATTTCAATGTTTAACTCTTTAACACTAATCCTTTAACCCTAGCGACACTATTATATATTCATGTCAAGGTGGCATTTCACTTTTTGATTATTATTTCCTTTCTCATACCGCGATCTTAATCGTGTAAAATACATAAATAAAAACGAAAAATCTTTCATTTATTAATTCCTATAAAATTTCGCAGCATTAAATATTGATTTCGATTCGAATTTGACTATGCTAAGGGTGAAATATCGCCGGTAGGAGGGTAGAATTGGATTAAATTATTATTTCCTTTCTCATACCGCGATCTCAATCGTGTAAAATATATAAATAAAAACATAAAATCTTTCATTTATTTATCCCAATAAAATTTCGCAGCACTAAATATTGATTTCGATTCGAATTCGACTGTGTACGGTAAAATCACAATTTCTGGAAAATTTTCTCCGAATTGTAGGTAGACCAGAAAAATCTTCCGAGTGCCAAGGGTGAAATATCGCCGGTATGAGGGTAGAATTGAATTAAATTATTATTTCCTTTCTCATACCGCGATCTCAATCGTGTAAAATACATAAATAAAAACGCAAAATCTTTCATTTATTAATTCCTATACAATTTCGCAGCACTAAATGAGCCGTTTATTTTGAAAGTGGCATAAGTCACTTCGTTTTTAAGTCGACATATTTAAGGGTTTTCGTTTTAACACGTTTAAAAATATGGATGCTAACTTTCGAGAAAATTTACTTGTATTTGTTATCTCAGGATACTGATATTTTTCTCAGTATAAATAATTTCGTACAGACATTAAAAAATCACCACTTTTCATTACGGTAAAGTGACATGCCACTTTCAAAATAAACGGCTCAAATATTGATTTCGATTCGAATTCGATTATGTACGGTAAAATCACAATCTCTGGAAAATTTTCTCCGAATTGTAGGCAGACCAGAAAAATCTTCCGAGTGCTAAGGGTGAAATATCGCCGGTATGAGGGTATAATTGGATTAAATTATTATTTCTTTTCTCATACCGCGATCTCAATCGTGTAAAATACATAAATAAAAACGTAAAATCTTTCATTTATTAATTCCTATAAAATTTCGCAGCACTAAATATTGATTTCGATTCGAATTCGACTACGTACGGTAAAATCACAATCTCTGGAAAATTTTCTCCGAATTGTGAGTAGACCAGAAAAATCTTCCGAGTGCTAAGGGTGAAATATCGCCGGTATGAGGGTATAATTGGATTAAATTATTATTTCTTTTCTCATACCGCGATCTCAATCGTGTAAAATACATAAATAAAAACGTAAAATCTTTCATTTATTAATTCCTATAAAATTTCGCAGCACTAAATATTGATTTCGATTCGAATTCGACTACGTACGGTAAAATCACAATCTCTGGAAAATTTTCTCCGAATTGTGAGTAGACCAGAAAAATCTTCCGAGTGCTAAGGGTGAAATATCGCCGGTATGAGGGTAGAATTGGATTAAATTATTATTTCTTTTCTCATACCGCGATCTCAATCGTGTAAAATACATAAATAAAAACGTAAAATCTTTCATTTATTAATTCCTATAAAATTTCGCAGCACTAAATATTGATTTCGATTCGAATTCGACTATGTACAGTAAAATCACAATCTCTGGAAAATTTTCTCCGAATTGTAGGCAGACCAGAAAAATCTTCCGAGTGCTAAGGGTGAGATATCGCCGGTATGAGGGTAGAATTGGATTTCGATTTGGCAGGCGAGAATAACGTCGATATTTAGTGGATCACGTTCGTGGAACCTTCGTAACGAGTCTGACACGATACTATAGTTCAAGAGGTTGAACATAAAGGAGCGTGCCAACGTAAAAATTCGTTGTTTCCAGGTGCGACTGTCCGGAACGACCTTGCCGTCATGCGGCCTACAGCGGTACCCGACGTCGAGTGCCCGCGCAACCCTGTTCACCTACTTTTTCTTCAGCGAGCCAGTCGAATCAGCAGCCGCAGCATCAACAACAACAGCAGCAACAGCAGCAGCAGCAGTGCGAGTGCATCGAAAGAATAAACTGCACTCACGAGGGTGCAGTCGGCGAGGTGGCGGGCGATTGCGAGTGCGAGGAAGAAGTGAAACCGTGCTCGCACACAGTGAAGCAACGCCGGTCGCGTCGTACGTGCGACTGCAGCGGCAGCGGATCGCAGCCGTGCAGCCATAAGCCGCAACACGAGGGACGTATAAAGCGCGTCAAGTGCCGCGTCAGACGCGCCGGCTGCGCCATGGCCAGGTGCACCGCGGAGCTGGCAATGCTGCACCTTCACTGGGGCCTGGCCACCGAATGCGCGCCCTGCAGGCCGCGAGCCCTCACCAGGAGACTCTGCAGGAGGCAGCAAAGCGACAACGAGCTCTACAGGAGCAACAGCTTCAAGTTCGAACGGTTCGAGAGGACCAAGGACGAGTGCGCGACACCTCTGCGGAAACAGGTAAGTGCGTTCTCTCAGGTGTTCATGCGTTCATTGCGGCCGCATTGTCCGTCAAAGGCAGCCAATCGAAACCGGACAATCGTTGGCGGACAGTCAAAGGCGGACTCTAATTAGAACTGCAGCGGAACCTGCAACGGTGCAACAGAGTTCGACTGTGTTACGAGCCGAGGGCCAGGCAGGTTGGGTGGCCGGAGGTTGCATGCAATTGGAATTTTTAATAGGGGTGCGTAGACCAGCCGATGTTTATTTCGACACGGGTGGCTACCTTCAAGATTAGGATAATTGTTGGAATTTCAACGATAACCCACCTAACAGTTTTATGGCCCCTTGCGAGGGTGAGCCGTTGCCTACAGAGGCCCAGGTCTGTCTCTTATACACATCTAGATGTGTATAAGAGACAGTAATTAAACTTGTAACCAAAGAAAACTGGTAAAAGCTAATTTATTACGCGTTTGGGTTTGACAAATGTATGCAAGTGTTCGCGGACTCTAACGCGCTCTCAGCTTTTCGCACTGAGTCGGCGAGAGATGTGTATAAGAGACAGTAATTAAACTTGTAACCAAAGAAAACTGGTAAAAGCTAATTTATTACGCGTTTGGGTTTGACAAATGTATGCAAGTGTTCGCGGACTCTAACGCGCTCTCAGCTTTTCGCACTGAGTCGGCGAGAGATGTGTATAAGAGACAGTAATTAAACTTGTAACCAAAGAAAACTGGTAAAAGCTAATTTATTACGCGTTTGGGTTTGACAAATGTATGCAAGTGTTCGCGGACTCTAACGCGCTCTCAGCTTTTCGCACTGAGTCGGCGAGAGATGTGTATAAGAGACAGTAATTAAACTTGTAACCAAAGAAAACTGGTAAAAGCTAATTTATTACGCGTTTGGGTTTGACAAATGTATGCAAGTGTTCGCGGACTCTAACGCGCTCTCAGCTTTTCGCACTGAGTCGGCGAGAGATGTGTATAAGAGACAGTAATTAAACTTGTAACCAAAGAAAACTGGTAAAAGCTAATTTATTACGCGTTTGGGTTTGACAAATGTATGCAAGTGTTCGCGGACTCTAACGCGCTCTCAGCTTTTCGCACTGAGTCGGCGAGAGATGTGTATAAGAGACAGTAATTAAACTTGTAACCAAAGAAAACTGGTAAAAGCTAATTTATTACGCGTTTGGGTTTGACAAATGTATGCAAGTGTTCGCGGACTCTAACGCGCTCTCAGCTTTTCGCACTGAGTCGGCGAGAGATGTGTATAAGAGACAGTAATTAAACTTGTAACCAAAGAAAACTGGTAAAAGCTAATTTATTACGCGTTTGGGTTTGACAAATGTATGCAAGTGTTCGCGGACTCTAACGCGCTCTCAGCTTTTCGCACTGAGTCGGCGAGAGATGTGTATAAGAGACAGTAATTAAACTTGTAACCAAAGAAAACTGGTAAAAGCTAATTTATTACGCGTTTGGGTTTGACAAATGTATGCAAGTGTTCGCGGACTCTAACGCGCTCTCAGCTTTTCGCACTGAGTCGGCGAGAGATGTGTATAAGAGACAGGAGTCGGCGAGGGCTTCCGACTTGATATCTAATTACCTATTAGATTGTTCGAGGGAGAATTGAAACTCGATCTCACTAGCGTTTCCACGTCGACGAATGACTCGAAACTAGCCCGATCTCTGGTCGTATTTGGGCCCTTTATATAGCCAGATTTTCTCTGGAAAAATGGTAGTGGGGGTGTTCCTATGTGGTCCGATTCCAGAAACGTTCGTCGTCGTACCCCCTTGGAGGTACTCGACTCGCGATATACAAATGTACCCCCGACTGGCTGGCGCCAGCCTGGCGTATGCCTTCAGAAAGGAATATAAACAATTCGTGGGAAGATTCTCCGTACGTTACAACTACATTTTATTCGGATAACGGATAAAGAGTAGCGAATAATATTATAATATTCGACGCTAACGAATAAATATCCGCGCGCGCGCGATCGAACGAACGTTTCTATCGAAATAACATTTCTATTTTATCGGAATAAGAATTCGTTCGAATAAGATTTTATTTCGAATAGAAATTCCTTCGAATAAGATTTTATTTCGAATAGAAATTCGTTCGAATAAGATTTTATTTCGAATAGAAATTCGTTCGAATAAGACTTTTAGAAGTTCCGTAAATCTAGCGTTAAATACGAGGTACTAATTTTGCTAAATTATTAATTTGATTCAACAGATATTACTTAACCCTTTCGCTACGGCAGCTCCATCCACCGAAGTACCGTCGCCGAGCGGAAACTCGCTTCAGAAATATGCGCAGTGCGCGTGGTTTCCGTATATATGTTGTTCCAAGCCTTAAATAATAACTGTGCCGAATAAAACAATCGTTGCTCCAATGTAACAAGTATATTTACATTTTTAATTTAAAAAGACTTACAAAATCATAAGTAACACAGGTATTTATATAATTACAAAGCCTAACGATTAAATGTTTAATATAATTAATAACGAGACGAAAATGATTAAAAGATAATAATATGTAAAAACTAATAATATAATTCTGTGCGATATATTTGACAGCAAGGATCTATACAAAGGCCAACATCGCAATCTTTGCACTCGTACCGCGAATCCGTTCTTTTATCATTTTTGCTACAGATTACACATCTTCGCCTTCTGTATACGCTTCATTTCGATGCCGCATATATGCGGCGCTCGGCGCGAAAGGGTTAAACACAGAACTTGTAAGGAAAGTTCACCAGTACACAGTAGCAAAAGTTGGAGACACGCGATTCGATTTGTCGCAACGACGATCGTAAATTGCAATAATATCGCACGTCGGCTACTTTGCCCGAGATATAAGAATCTGATAAAGTGCAGAGAACGTGGGAATATGGGGTACATAGAGTATTTTGTATGGGTAGGGTGCGGCTCTCGCAGTGTTTCATTAAAAGTCTATTTGAACGGCATGTTTGCTCTCGACCCCGGCCTTAAACGCTTTAGACTCTCGTTCTCTCTCTCTCTCTCTCTCTCTCTCTCTCTCTCTCCAGAACTCTCAATTCGCTGACTCTCGAAAACTGATTCTCGCTGCACTTCGACAGCACTTGAGAACTCTCGGACGTGAATGTGCTCGCCGGCTCCAGCGGCGGCCGCGTAGCCGCCTTAACGCACGCACGTGCTCCACCGACACGTGCTCCTCCTCCACACATCGCGGTCTTTAGATCCGGCCTGGAATACAAGCTCGGCACGAATAAAATGTTCTTATTTCGCTGAAACGCCGGGCGCTCAGCGTTGCGGATTTTATAAAACATTTTCAACCCGGGGAAAATTAAACGTCGCGGAACTGGGTCGAGCGGTTACGCGACAGAGGGTGATTTTTAAATTTCTCAGCTGCACTTCGCGTGCCGCTTTAATACGCTCGAACTACGCATTTCGATGTCCGGGCCCGACTGGCCTATACTTCGAAAATCTTCCGATGCTCGGGTCCGTTTCGACCCAATACTTCAGAGGTGTTATTTAATCGCTGGACCGCGGATTTTGTATACAAATTAACACGATCGAATGGTATCGTAGAACTTCGATTATCCGAACTGTTGATATCTGAACTATTTATTTTTAAACACGTTGTTATATGTAAACAGATCGATCTAAGGCAATCTATACATAAATATATTTTATCTGCCATTTGGATAATAGAACCGTTCTATTATTCGAATAGGATGATGCGTGATTCATCAGTTTGGATAATCGAGGTTCTACCGTATCGATGTACTATTGCTAGCTCGTTAATTGAAATCGGAGACAGTTTGCTCGTGTTTCCAAAAATATCATCAGAAAATCTGATAGTTCCGTAACACTTTGCCGTTAAACTGGGTAAAAAGACCCTGTTTTTAGAGAAAGTGAGATTAACAATTAATTGAATATAATTGGAGAGTGAGATACCAAGCTCTAATACAGCAAACGATGTTCTACAATGTTCAAATTATGATAATATTGACTGCTATATAAAATCTCTTTGTTCGTTATTACTTTTTCTATAACAAGTGGTTTTTCTACCCGTATATATGGATAAATTATTATTATTATTGTTATTATTATTATTATATATACACAAAGTCTGTACCATATTAATATTAGCTTTTGGTTCTGTATTGTAAAAAAGTGTGTTTTTACCTGCACATATAAATAAATTAAATTAAATCAAATTAAATTAAATTAAATTAAATTAAATTAAATTAAATTAAATTAAATTAAATTCAATTCAATTCAATTCAATAATAATTATTGCTATTGCTACCGTCAAAGTGCCAATCATCGAAAGCGTTTCGGCGATCGGAAAGTATGGTCTTAGAATGATTGCATCGGAGATTAAACGCCCTCGGATTTTTCTATTTTTCGAGCGACGTCGAACGGAATTTTTCTTTCACGATTCACCAAACAGGACTGTCTTTTAAGTTAATTGGAAACGAGTCGCGGGGTCAGAGTCGTCAGAAACATCGGCCGGTTTAATATTAGGATCCCAGTGTTGCCGACATCGGCCAGACGACGCGGATCTTTGTTGATTAAAGTGGCTGTACTAAATGAAGACCCGGGCCGGCTCGCTCTCGCGCGAGGGCTCTGCAGGAGGCAGTAGAGCGACAACGAGTTCTACTTCGGGAACAGCTTTAAGTTTGAACCCTTTGAGAGAAGCGGGACCGAGGATGGTGTTCCACTTACCATGTAGACGAGTCCTCCCGTTGATCGCTTCACTGCCAATGGCGTGCATACCTCGTTCCTTTTTCTTTCTCTTCCCGCTCGCGCACCACCGTTGTGCTTCTTCGTCCATGGCCGTAGTTATCGTAAAAACTGGCAACGAACGAAGGAAATTCGTGCTTAATTAAGATCACGCGGTGAACGCATGTGTGCACGGTGAGACGGTGTTTTTCGGTGCGACCGAGATTCAAGTGGACTCGACTGCTCATGTTTGTAACGATGGGCCCTCGTGCAGATTTCTGTTCTCGACGACGATTTTATGGGGATACGGAA